TTCTTTTTGGGTGGTATAGTTGGGGTTTTCTTTATCCATATCCTACATAAGTTTTTGTTTTTGCTTATGTTAGGATTTCTTTACTTATAGTCACCTTTTACTTGTAACTTTTTTGAATTTTTAATAGATGGGCTTAGGCCCCAAAATTTCTCAAAAAAAAAAATATGTGCTTAGGTGTCAATTTATTATTGGTCTACAAGAACCACGGTTATGACATTTGGCTATATATAACTACTGTACATGTTACTTGTGATTAATGAAAATATAATCTCTCTTTACATTTCTTGTTTCTGTTCTTGGCATTCTCTTCGTACCTTCTTCTTCCACATGGTATCAGAGGCTTGGTAACTGCACCAAGCATGAGTTTTGCGAACTCCAATCCTGGCGAGCAACTGGACGGGGAAGGCTACGTCGATTCCCTCATTCCTCTGACATTGAAGTTCTTCGTTACAAACCTACGCACTCTTGTTCATCTTCAGCTACAATCCGACAACTACCCATTGTGGCGAGCTCAAATCGACAAAATCTTCCGGGCAAATCGGTTTGAAAAAGTTTCTTGAACCCTATTTTTCGACATTTTCAACTGTTCCTTCTCAATCCGGTGAAAATCAGACCTCTAATCCTCAACCTTACCAATGGATCATCACGGATCAAAACTTAACTGTCGCTCTTTGTTCAACGATTTCCACATCTATACTTCCCTATGTTGTGAATCTTGCTTCCACCGCCGAATCTGGTCTACCTTGGACATAAGGTTTCAATCCTATAACAGATCAAAAGTCATTCAACTGAAAAATTCCCTTCACAACATTTCTCTTAAAAACCAGTCGATCACTCAGTATTTGACTGAAATCAAATCGCTAGTTGATTAGATCACTGCGTCTAGTTCATCTGTGGACAATGAAGATGTGATTCTTTATATTTTAAATGGACTTCCTTCCTCCTATCAGTCTTTTAAGACTGTCATTCGCACTATGCTTACTCTAATCAATCTTGATCAGTTATACCCTCTTCTACTCAATGAAGAGATCAATCTAGCTGCAGATAACGCACGCTCTGCTCCAATGCCGGACCTGCAAACGGCATTGTTCGTGCCAAGAGGAAGAGGTCGCCGATCCCGTAACCACAATTACCAGAACACTGCCTCTAGATCGTCGGCGAATCCGAACTATAATGTCATCTATCAAATTTGTTCTAAAAAGGGACACGCTGCTTCTACTTGCTGGCATCGACTCAATCCAAACTACGTCAACTCCACTACTCCGGCAACCAACACGGCTCTGGCTACTCATACAGACAACCCTTCGACCAACTGGTATTTGGATTCAGGTTCTACATCACACCTCACCAACTCACTCGAGGCAATGTCCACTGCCTCCTCCTATCAGGGATCGAACACAATTACCGTCGGCGACGGGAGATCGGTAAACATCGCCAATGCTGGTACAGGCTTGTTACCGACTCCCACTCGTTGGTTCACTTTATCTCAGATCTTTCATACACCTTCTTTAAAATTTAATCTATTGTCTATTTCTAAACTTATCAAAGACAACAACATTGCTATAACATTTGATCCAAATGGTTTTTATTTTAAGGATTTGATTACTCATCAGGTGCTTCTTCAAGGACCCTGTGACAAAGGGCTCTATCCCTTTAATGGTGATAGAGCTAACACCATTAAAGGTGATATGGGTAATAATTAATGGTGATATGATGATATGGGTAATAATTAATGGTGATATGATGATGACCATCATCATTGATATCTTCGATTGATAATTTGATATATAAATTTGTAAATCTTGATGCCATGCGTACGACAGATAAAAAATTAAGGCAAAATATGATGAAAATCATTTTAAAAAAAATTATTGCTCTAAGTATTCCATAAAAAAGTATGATGATGTGACTTTGTTTTATATCAAAATGTTTATGTTTTTAAGAACAACCATTTGTATGTAAGATGGATTTTATAAAATAATAGTTTTCCATGAAAAACTTCTAATAAGTATTCGTGCAAATGTATAGAATTTCAAATTATAAATATATATATATATATATATTCATATATATTCATTTTTTTCATGCTTTTGTTGCTTTTTTCAAGCTACAAAAGTATGAAGGTATTTTTTACTTTATAAGTCACATGATTACTCTAATTTTATTATGACTTGCATATATATATTTATATATATATATTATCATTCCTATTCCTTAACAAAAATCTTATTCATTCGATAAAAAATAAGTGTAGCACCTTTTTAGTTAAAAGTTTTATTCAACTTCTTATGAGATATTGGAGCCAACTAAAAAATGGTAAGCTAGTTTGTTAATTTTCTTTTAATTATTTAATTTTGAAGTTAATTTTATATGGCAAAGTCATTTTTGAACTGAATTTAATTTTTTTTAATTAGGAGATTTATGTATATTAGCTTTAAAAATAACTTTTGTTTAATAATTCATATTATTAACTTATCAACAAAAAAGTAATTGAATTTTGTCAATTCGTATTATTAACTTATAATGTCATATATTAGTGTATTAAGTATCAATATGTTTAATTTACTTAATTAATACTTTATGATTATTTTCTCTAATTATAATTTACAATCGTTGTCAAATAAAATGATTTATTATACTAAAATTTTTATCAGAAGCAAAGTGTTATGGCATTATAAGAATTAGTGGTTGATATCATTTTCTTAGGCTTTATTTGAGACAACTTTCTTTCTGCTTTCTAAAATAGTTTTCTAGTAAAAAAATTTCTAATTCAAGAAAATTTTTACTAGAAAGCACTTTAAAAAGCAATAAGAAAGCTGTCCCAAAAGAAGCCTTAGTTTGTGATGATGTAGAAATTTTTCATAAATATGCACATGTTTTAAAGCTATTTTGGTGATTTCCAGAACAGTTAGTGAAGCTAACACATTATTCTGTTTCATTAATATTTCAAGCGACTTTTCTTGATCTATCATAAGAATATACATACATAAAATCATAGAATAAAGTAGGACAGAAATGCAAGCAACAACCCACTAAAAACTACTAGCTAGCTACCTTAAGTAATATTAATAAAGAAAGCTGCTATTGCTTTACTACCATTTGCAGTATTGAGGATATGAAAACTATTGCAGGATCTATATGGTAAACAAGCCAAATGGATTAGGGTTGAGTATATATAATAGACTTATAAAAGCCTTCTTCATTAATGCTATGCACTATTGTAGGCTTAAAATATTATCTATTAAAAATAACTCAAAGCATGCTTGAAAGTTAATTTATAATAATAGTTAACATAAATTAACTCAAAATACAATATTTTGCATGCAACCTATATTTTCATTCATTGATAATAACAAGAAAATTTTGCTTGTAAATATTTTATTACTCTCAATATCTTTGTGCTCTCTCTCTCTAAGATACTTTCACATTGTCTCCATTGTTATGGAATGACTTCATAAGCTTAATACTGTAATGCTATAACATATTAAGTGATTCTTTAGTATATGGGACATTATTTTTCAGAATGGCAGCCTCATAGTAAACCATATTCTTATTTGACCCTTCAAATCATCTTCCATGATAGCCTACCTCATGTGTATTCAAAAAATGCTTACTTGTCTTCGATCAAGGCAATCATCTCAAAAAAACAACATGGTGCTTACCATGGTTGAGTAGAATATCATCTATAATATACTATAAATCAAACTTTCGTATATTACCCCTCTAAGTGCATAACATGAATGTTTTCTCCACGTCCGCATTTTTAAAGTTCTTGTCTCAATCTTGCTAATTATTAATAAGCCTAATAATTCAACCCTTTTTGAATTTCTCCTCATATAAAAAATTACTCAAATATTGTGTTACTCAAATTCAACGACTCAAAATATTGTGTTTCTGTCATGAATGTTGAACACAAGAGAGCATTTCTCATCCTCCTCATCATTCGACGACTTTCCCTTCCTGTCGGATCGGAATTTACGACATTTTGATCGAAAGCAAGAACAAGAGCTCGCTGGCTGTGAAGTTAACTTTCTCCCTTTCGCGCGCCTGTAACGTTAAATCCCGTTAAATCTGCCGAACCGAGGGATTTAGGCCTCGTTTGACTAGGCTTATTTTCTCCTTTCTCCATCTGAATAAGCAGAAACTAGTTACCCTAACTGTTTGGAATAAAAGCTTAACCATAATTCTTTTTCGCCAAACTCCATTTTTTCGGTGGTTGCAAATTTTTTTTTGTTTCTGCTTATTCCGTCACAAAACGGAGTTTCAAAAGTAAAATGTCGGATCAAGCCCTACCGGCATGACCCCCGTCGTAAATCTATTATTTGATAATAAAATAAATTAATTTTCCAACATTAAAATATTTTTTGTTTAAGTTGAGTTTTTTTTATATATATATATATTAATTAGGTGTACATAAATTTTATGGGCAATTATGTCTTTTATAATAAAATCTCAAAAGTAGAACTTCTAAACAAACAATTTAAATTTACTTTCAAATATTAATAAGCACTTTTAAAAATATTACTCAAACATAACTCATTATTGAAACTCCATTTTATTGAACGGCTTTTTCTCAACCTCTTTTTCTAAAACTCCTTTTCATGTATGCATAAACCGAATCAAACGAAGCCAGTAAATCCGGGATTTAAGCCGTAACTCCGTAAATCTCGGATTTAAGGCGCGCACAAAAACCGTTTGGCTGGATTTAGCGTAAATCTGACTTAAATTCCGCTGTAAATCCGATAACAAACAGCCCCTCAATTTTAAATAATAATAACAATAATAATGCCCAAAATAATAATAATAATAATAATAATATTCACAGTCGCATACTATTCCCGGTATAGGTAGATGAGCAGAAATCTACACCGTTCAAATGCATATCGGCCACAAAATTATGACCCACGTGGACAAGCCACCACGCAAGTCTTGGTGGATTCCGGTTCGTTCCTTGTATATTCTATATATAAGAGGAGCGGAGCATCATTTCTAATAACAAGACCAAGAAAGGCAAATCCTCTGCTCTCGGGTCTCTCGCGTTCAGCCTCGCCCTCCGTCTCCACTGCGACAGAAAGGGCATAATGGCATCCATGGCCTCCAGGGCAACCTTCGCGCCGAAACCTTCGGAAGCGATCTCCTCCCGCGTCGTCCCTTTCCGTGCCACCGCTTCATCTTCCATCTCCTTCGAGGGATCTCAATCCCGAGCACCTTTCTTGGGCCAAGCACTCAGGCTTGCGGTTTATTCTCCGAAGATCTCTGCTCTCTGCGGTTGGAGGAGGATACGGAGAGATCCAAGGACGATCGTAATGGTTGCGTCCGCGGGCGGGGCGGCAAAGCCGACGGTGCTGGTGTCGGAGAAGTTGGGGGAGGCCGGACTTGAGCTGCTTCGGGAGTTTGCGAATGTTGATTGCTCCTATAATCTCACTTCCGAGGATCTCTGCGCTAAGATCTCCCTATGCGACGCGCTGGTTGTGCGAAGTGGCACCAAGGTGACGCGAGAGGTCTTTGAGGCGTCAAAGGGCCGGCTCAAGGTAGTCGGCAGGGCCGGAGTTGGGATCGACAATGTTGATCTGCAGGCCGCCACCGAGAATGGATGCCTTGTCGTCAACGCCCCTACTGCCAACACGGTAGCTGCTGCCGAACACGGGATCGCGCTTCTTACAGCCATGGCCAGGAACGTCGCGCAGGCTGACGCGTCTATGAAGGCCGGTAAGCTCTCTCTCTCTCTAACACAGGCACCTACACACGCTTGTCTCTGTTTTAATTTGCATGTTCTCTTGTGTTTTTCGTTCAGGCCATTAGGATCTAGATCTGAGTTGTTTGGAAGCGAATAGCATATGTGAGCTATTCTAGTCTTTATTGATGATTGAATTTTTTATTATTTGGAAAAGTGCGTACTAACCAGGCAGGGATTTGTTCTTTTGACGCGTACCTTCCACGTGTATTTTCATGCCATACCTGTAGCATCTATTCGGACACCACTGATTGAACTAAATGTTGAATTATCTGAAGCAGATCTGTAGACTTACTGTAATTATATTGTTGTTTGGTTTGAGATGGTAGTGTATTGCCATTGCAGGGGCTGCTAGGCATCCTTTAAAATGTTTAATGTGCCATTCACGAGATCTTATTCTCATGTTGATGATTATGTTAATTATTAAGACTGATTTGAACAATGCGAAGGAATTTCTTTGCATATGTCAATTTACTAGGCTTCAATCACTATTGATTTGTTTTTCTGTTAAATGTCACTAACTTCTTACTTAATTGTTCATTGATGCTATATTGTAGATCCTTTCAAGCTTATAGTGGAAGGCTACTACATCGGGGCTTTCAACTTGCTTCCTATTACTTAGGGTTTTCAATATTATTTAAGAAAATTAAACTATAGCCAATAATCATAGTGGGAGCTATTTATTGTCCAACAACTAGATGCTCTCTTAAGAATTTGAGACATGATCCATAATATCTGTTCTGAGCCTGTCTTTGATTTTTGTTCCCTTTTTGGCTCAAATATACATGAACAGTTTATCTGGCTGATAAAACCATACATCATGAAAATATCACATGTTATTTTATTCCTTGGTTATCATAGAGTGGCCATATATACATGAAAACTGGAGTATTTAAGCTCTACTTGTAACTTCCCATGGAAAATTGATAAGAATCCTTATGTTGACCTGCAAAAGCTCAAATTGATTCCTGCTGAATTCTTTTTTGTGGAAAGTTCTAAGTGCAATTTGAAAGGTGAAGGAGAGGTGTTTAGGCTGCCACGACTGTTTGGGCTGCTCTATGATTCTTCTTGAGATTTTTCTTTTGCGGGAATAGGTTAATCGGCAAAAGTACAGATGCACTGATGGTGAATCCTTTCAAAGAAAGGTTCATAGTGTTTGAAGGTGAATGAATGATGTTCATAGTGTTTGAAGGTGAAGGAGTGCTGTTCATTGATTTTGAAGGTGAAGGAGAGATGTTTAAGCTGCCAGGCCTATTTGAATTTGTTCTGTGATGCTTATGGAGAGCTGCCTTTAGCAAGTACTGGAATCTCAATGTTCTTTCTTAGGACAAGCTCATAATTAACTCTAATTTACCAGTCTTTTTTACAACTTGATAACTTTGGTCTTCCGTATTTCCTTCCTATGTATTTCACATTAATGCTATCTCTTAACCTTATTTGTTCTTCTTAAGCTCTCCATTCAAATGTCTGAAGATTCAAACTCTATTGTCCATGTTCTCTTTAATAGATACTACTTCTATGGTCTTTCTATGCAATCACTTTGTTTCTCTATCCTTTATAGATTACCATGTATCAATTAGCATTGTAACTTTTCCACACTCTACTTGGTTTTCACTCCAATCCTAGTTGAAATCATTCTACACTGAAAGTAGGCCTCAATTAGAGTTGCTTTTCAGCTGTTCTGATTTTTGAAAACCTGATATATAACCATTTTGATATGCTTAGAAACTTTGATAGAAAGAGCCATACAGATTTCCTGCTTCGTATGCACCTCATACCTGGCTTCATCACAATGGGCAATACACTAGTAGTCTAATTTTTCCATTCTCCAAGACAACCACAGTGAATATATGCATGCTAAGTAGCATTGACAATACCAACAAAAGCCTAATCTAACCAAACGAACCATAATCAAGTCCTTTACCTCTTATCTTGTATTGCTGGATATTATGTTGTCTATAGCACTTGTGTAATTGTAAAGGTCAATTGCAAAGAAATCCTTGTTTTTATTTAAAGTACTCCTTCTACTTTGAGATTAAGGTATTTTTGCACAGACATCAGTTACCATAATAATGAACTTTTTAATTATGAAAAGAATACCGATAAATATACTTTATGAAAACTGAAGGTATTTGGGCTATATAGCCTTAACCTTCCTTTTTTGCTGACGATAAATTTATAAAGTGGAGTAGTTTATATTTATTTGGTTCGATTAGTGCCCTTAACTTATGTGTAGAAATTTATTTTTTATATGCAGAACATGCTTGATCTGTTGGTGCCCTGTAATACTTCCATTTCCTTAAAGGACACCTGCTTTGCCTGATTTTAAAAGTGAAAGAAAACAAAATTGTAAGAACTGATTATTTCATTGAAGTTCTTTATGAAAAACTAAAGTGGGTTTACAAAGAACCATTAAAAAGATTATTCAATCGCCTTCATGATTTGTGTTTAGTTTGATAGCATTGTTTTCATTAAGTTGATCTGATAAATTTAGCATTATGCTTTATCGCTTACACGCACATGAGAAAATAAGAGGCTCATATTTATTTTATAAATAAATAATTATTTTTATTCAAAATTAATTTGTTGTTAGGGCACATTAGAATATACTTAATCAAGTGTGATGTTTGTTGTTGAATTTACTGAACAATTATAAGTTGGAGAGGTTGGATCGGATGGATAACTTCACCAAAACCTAATTACACGACAACACTTAACATAGTAAAAATAAAGATTTAGAGATGAATAAATTTCTATTAAATAGAAAGTATTTAAAAATTTCATATCAAAACCTCAATATTATTTCAAAGAATTTAGAAAATATAAATTCATTTTTCTTTTGTCATAAGTTTATAGAAATGATAGTCATTGTCTCTCTTTTTTAAGTGTGTTTGTATGACAACTAATGGTTGACTTAATGAATCCACATTTTTCGTTCGTTTCTATGTAATCTTCCTAAGGTGTTTAAAATATTATTCACAAATCTTTTTAAACAATTCATATCAATGTTATCTTAGGTGTACATCTCCTTCCTAATCTTCTCAGACATTAATTTTATCCACTCATTTAATAGTTGCATTTTCTACCCATTTTTGTATATATTCAAACCACCTAAATTAATTTTTAAGTATCTTATATTTGATAGATGTCACTCCAACCATTGCTTAATTTGTCTTTCCTAGATTTGTCATATTCGGCTTAACATTCTCATTTCTATGATGCTCAACTTACATATCAATGCTATTTTATTGCTCTATATCTGGATCCATACAGATCTATATCTGGAAAAAGGATTCATGTAGCCGACCCAATAAAGGTTTGTTGTTGTTGTTGTTGTTGTTGTATATCTCGATCCATACAAATTTGTTGGCTTAATTAAAATATTGAACATCTTCTTATTCCAAGTTATTCTTGATGAAATTCTCTATTTTAATCACCCAACATTAACTTGAGAAGTCATGTCCATGTTTATATGCCCATTTTTTGTATGATAATTCAATATAACTAAAATCACACTTACTATCACTTTTTCTTCTAATCATAAAGATTGGTAAAAATTGCATTATATATTTAGTTTTTGTTCTAGTAATTATAATCTCTATTGTCTAAATCTTTTCTTCTTTATTCTAACTTTTCACTTATATAAAATATGTTTTACATGTAAAAGCATTTTCTTAGTTTCCCTCTCTTCCTTGAAAATTAAATAACAAAAGAATTGGAGCAGGCTTCATTTTGAAATTGAGAACCCTTCTCAATTTTTGACTTTTGAGTGGACTTTCTTCATCTGTCATGACACCTTGCATTAATGTCAGATCAATTGATCTCATGTCTTCATTTGTTTTTTGTACGCTTATATTAAAAAAGAAATTCGAAGAGCTTCATGTTGAAAAGTACCTCTTATTGATTGTTAATTTGAAGTTGGGCTTAATGTATAGATAGGATGAAAGCAGAGTTTCTTCTAAAAACTATAAACATAATCAGCACGTGTTTTATGTGCTCTATGAAGGAAATAATTTTATTAAATTACTGAATTATGATTTATTTATTTTCTAAGAATGTTTATGGAGAGATAAAGTTGACTAAGAAAAAAAATTACGAAATGTCAATTTTTTTTTTTCCGTAACCCTTCGAAACATTTAGTATTGACTCTATGACATCTCATAAGTGATTATGTTCTTGTCATTGGATTATTTTGCTAAAATGTTTCAAAACTACGTGATGATCTATATATTTTTATGGTGTTGGTCAAAAAATTGCTCTGGGTCAGATATCAATCTGTGAAATAATGCTATTTATGAGATATTTACCTGAATTTGGGGAAATTGATGAAATTTTTCGTTTTACATTGTACGGGATGTTTAGAGGTCCTTTAACTAAAGAAATATTTCAACGTGAGTAATAGCTTTTATGAGTTTAAAATTTTCTTTTGTTATGAATAGCTTTTGGCCTTCTATTATTGTTGACTCTCAAACCGTTTGTTAATGGGATTGTGCTTTCAGCAGCTAACAACCTTCTAACTAACAGGAAAATGGCAGCGTAACAAATATGTTGGTGTCTCCCTAGTAGGGAAGAACCTGGCAATTATGGGTTTTGGAAAAGTTGGTTCAGAAGTTGCCAGACGTGCTAAAGGACTAGGAATGCATGTCATTGCTCATGACCCTTATGCCCCTGCTGATAGAGCTCGTGCCATTGGTGTAGAATTAGTATCATTTGATGAAGCCATATCCACAGCAGATTTTATCTCACTTCACATGCCACTCACCCCTTCAACCTCTAAAATTTTCAATGATGAAAATTTTGCAAAAATGAAGAAGGGAGTGAGAATTATTAATGTTGCAAGAGGTGGAGTAATTGATGAAGATGCCTTGGTGAGGGCCCTTGACAATGGAACTGTTGCTCAGGTACTCTTCTACCATTTTGCTTGGTGTAATAATGCTAATTTTTTCTTATAAGTGGAAGTCCCGGAAAACTTGCAAACAGAAGGAAAAGAGAAAGGATCCTGAGATCTTTCTGAGGTTAATGATTCTCTGGTGCACATGTTTTTGTGCAATGGCAGAATTTTATATATCATTATGCGTGACACCCAAAAAAAAAACATTTGCTTGCATATTTCCTCTGATATTCTTTACTGCCTCAAAAGCATTAACAAAATACATTCACGATACATTTTCTGTACTAGAATGAATTATATCTATGGATTGCTTCAAGTAAATAACATACCAATCAAATTTTATGGATTTGCTGAGCATCTCAAGCAATCTTATTGTGTATATGTTTTAAGGATAAACTTAAGGTTTCGTTTGGGATAGTTTTCTTGCTATTTTATAAAGATGTTGTATAAAAAGTAACTTTTCAAAGTTTTTGTAGAAAGTAAATAGATGATAAAGTAAATAACTTTTCAAATTTTAGTTCTTAAGGTTTCGAGAAAGTTGTCCCAAAGGAAGCCCTAGAATGCAACATTATAAGTTTTTCCAATATATTACTTTTTTTTAAGTCAGAAGGCTTTGAAATTGTTGTCAGCTCAAAATCTATGTTGAATACCAATTAATAGATCTAATGATCGGAATTTTCTTGGTTAATACTGTATAGTTGATCCATACTTCAAGCAAAAATATTCTCATTAAGACTACTACAACAACAAGAAGAACATAAGACCTTTATCTCACTATGTGGGGTTTGTTACATGAATTATTTTGCTCTATTGTGTCTTGTTCAGAGTCAATTTGTCATTTAAATCTAATAAATAAATTTCATTTCTAATATTTTCTAACCGAGTCTTTTTAGATCTACCTCTACCTTTCTTAATATAAGTCAAATCTAATACATCTGTTCTCCTAACCGGGTCATTGGAAGGGCGCCGTTTTATGTGATCAAACCGTCTAAGACGACTCTCTCTAATCTTATTTGTCATTGCAGCTACTCCAACCTTTTCACATAGTGGGATAAAGGCTTTTGGAGTGCGATAGATGGAATTCTATTATGATTGTCGATTAAACAATATGAAAGTTTCCTGCATAATGTTTCTCGAGTTACTGAGCATTCTTCTGGTGTGCTTCACAGGCAGCACTTGATGTATTTACAGAGGAACCCCCAGCAAAGGACAACAGGTTAGTGCAGCATGAGAATGTTACTGTTACTCCCCATCTTGGAGCGAGCACCACCGAAGCTCAGGTGTGCAATTTGGTCAAGATTGAATGAATGAGTTAGATATCTTGATAGAAATATGCGTGTACTTTCACCCATTATCTAATTATCATGAGAAATTTCAGGAAGGTGTGGCCATTGAAATAGCTGAGGCTGTGATTGGGGCATTGAATGGTGAACTTGCTGCTACTGCCGTGAATGCCCCCATGGTTCCTTCTGAGGTAAAATCGACAATATTACTACAGAATAACTTGATCTCTTAAAATAGCTTGTGTGAATTAATATGTGAAGATTAATATTTTTGCACACTACTTCCTTAAATCAGTTAGAAATTCAATACAGTATGTATAGAAGCCTGATTCTATGTTTCCCCTGCTTATATTCTTTCTTTTTTATTTGGTTTATTGAAAGATTTCAGCCTTTGGCTTCAACTAAAACCTTCCCAACAACAGTTAATTATCAGAACCTTTTAGCTCATGCACTTTTATACCATATTTAATTGTTCTTATGACTTCAAGAAAGAATTTATCAGATCGATATTCATCTTGTAAGGGCATCTCCAACCTAAAATCCCACCTTTCACTCTAAAATGTCGTGATTTTCAACTCCAATCGAACTTCATTTTGCGTGTTTCTTCAAAGGTAACCGTCTTTCTCCTCTTTCGCGCATTTCTTCTACAAATCCGGTTGAGACAGAAAAATCGCATAGGTGAACAGTGCAACGTCAATATTGGCGTCTCACTGTTCACCCTCCACTGGTTAGCAATTTTTTTGTCGTTTGAATGGAGCAAACTAGCTTCGCCTTATAGTCGTTTGGAGTTCGATTGGAGATGCTTTAACTAATCCCTTGTAGTTTACTTGTTCAAGTGGTCATTGTAAATGAAATCCTATGCCGCATGAAAAAACAGCCTTGTTGGCTCTACTAATATGATGAACTTGATCCACCTGGTTATTGTTTTGCATGGAAACATATGATTACTTTTCTTTGGGGCTGAATGATATAACATTGTTGATGTACTAATAGACTTCCTTTTCTTGAAACTTTTTAGTTAAAGCTCAGGCTAACCATGCCACTTCTTTTATTCCTAGGTTTTGTCCGAGTTGGCCCCATATGTTTTATTGTCAGAGAAGCTAGGTAGACTTGCCCTGCAGCTTGTAGGGGGAGGTGGCGGCATAAAGGGTGTGAAGATTGTGTACACATCAGCTCGAAGCCCGGATGACCTCGACACTAGAATTCTTCGCGCCATGGTCACAAAAGGTATCGTCGAGCCAGTATCAAGCGTTTTTGTGAACCTTGTCAATGCCGATTACATCGCCAAGCAGAGGGGTTTGCGCATCAGCGAAGAGCGAGTATTCCATGACGGCTCGCCTGAAATCCCGCTGGACTTTATCCAGGTCCACCTCGCAAATGTCGAGTCCAAATTCGCCAGTGCCATATCAGACTCTGGTGAGATAGTAGTGGAGGGCAGAGTGAAGGATGGGATTCCACATCTCACAAGCGTAGGCTCATACAGTGTAGATGTCAGCCTTGAGGGAAATCTGTTACTCTGCAGACAGATTGATCAACCTGGCATGATCGGTCGTGTGGGAAGCATTCTTGGAGAAAACAATGTGAATGTTAGCTTTATGAGTGTCAGTAGAACTGCACCTCGGAAACAGGCAATCATGGCCATAGGTGTTGATGAGGAGCCCGAGAAGGATGTTCTAAGGAAAATTGGTGAAATACCAGCGATTGAAGAGTTTGTCTTCCTGAAGCTATAATAGAGGAACCCTTTCCGTGCCTCACATGCAGTTCATTGACGAGTGCTACATTTTTTTTTTTTTGAGGTACTTTGCAAATAATAATGAGTTTATAGTCTCAAGGCATTACACACCATTTGGACTGTCATTCTTCATGCAGTCCCTAAAAAGTTTACTTCTGATTTTGTAGCAGAAACAAAAAATTTCGTTTGCTATGCGAGTTTCTTTTCTATTATGTGGAATGTTATTTCTTTGACATATTTTTAATGCTGGAATGTAGAACAGTATTGTGTTTATATGAATTTATACATTGATTGTTGTCTTTGTACTACGTTGTATTGATGGGTGTGATTTTATCGAGGGAAAAATACTACTATATTAATATTTTTATGATATATTTTGGATGAGATGGATCGAGATGTTATTAGGGCAATTAGTTGGTTGATTTACTTGATTGAAATGTCAATTGCTTGAGAAGAGGAAGGCAAGCAATGTTATCGAATTCGTCGCTGCTGCATCTCCCAAAGTGCCTCTTACAACAAAACAACTCATACATGTGATCGAGAAGAGTGCAAAGGAGACTTCAACAGAGAGGGGAAGAAAGCCAACAATTGTTGAATAAACAAGTATTTGGTGCAAAATACTGATGACTTTGGTGGACTGAAGAACATTCTACTTACTCAGAGGTAGCTAATTTTGATAATTCAGGTAGATGAATTAGTACCATGTTGGAGGAGATGAAATTATTTCATAAGAATGAAAAATAGGATTTACTAAGACTGACAGAGGATAGGAAGCTACTCATTATAAATAGGGGTTCAAAAGGAAAGAAGAAACTCTGAGAGTTATAGAACACATGAATAAGGCAAGATTATTGCAAAGAGTTATAGTCAAGTTTCTATAGTAGATTTCACATATATGTTTAGCCAGTTATAGAGCAAAGTTCAATTTGAGGTTGTTCGGTATTGTGGTAATGCATGATTTTGAGTTTAAATCGTATCATTGGATGTGAAGACAAATTTTGACATGGAGAACATGAGGAAGACATCTACATATAGGAGCTATAGGTGTTGGGAAATTTCTATAGGTTGACCCATATACTTATACATATAAATAAAGTCTTATACATTAGAATCTATCTAAAATTAAGCCAAATTAATTTCGTAATCTATTTAAGTATTAAATTATTATTTGACTTATGTGGCATCTCAATTAAATTTTGCATAAAATTAATTTGTGTAGAGGTCAGATATTTATTTTATTTTAATGATGGGCTAAAATAAAATATTTACACTTAAAGTATAAAAAGATTGTGATTCCCAGTTTAAGTGGTTAAGTTCTCATTTCCCTTATTTTCCAGCTTGAGTGAAAAGAATGGGTCTCTCCTTCTCTTGGAGAACGCAGCTCTAAATGTGGAAAACCGAAAACCTCAATTCTGCATTTCAATAGATTCAGGTACGATTCTGAAAATTCTTCTCGATGATTTGACATGTCTTTCGGAGACGATCAAATTCTTATTTTTGTGTCTCCATTGATTCCTAACAAGTGGTATCAGAGCCCGGTTGTCATGTTGAATCAGCGAGAAATAGTTTTCACCAATCATTTTATTGATAAGTTGAATTTTTTCGATCAAATGAAATATTCGTTTGAGAATTCCTTCTTTTGAATTTTTTTTTTTTCATATATGAGAAATAACTATTAACTGAAGTTCATTGTTTCATTGATTTCGAGCATGTTTTAGTAATCAAAAGTGCACTTTAATCAATGGATTCGAATTCTGCAATATGATCTTCTTCTCCGTAGAACCGTCAGTTATTTTTTGCTTTATTTTCCAATGGGTGCAACCGTTGGTATATTGCAGCTGTTCGAACCGTCCATCATTTTTTTTGGGACATTTAGGCCAATTAAGGCAAACTCACACACACAACGCATACACAAAAACTCGAACCCAAGACCTCTTAATTGAAAGCCTAAGCCCTCAACCAATAAGCCAAGGTGAGCTGTGTAACTGTCCATCATTCATTTTCGTGGCAGTTCTTATTATGGCTATTAAAAGGTTTCTGGAATTTTGCTAATGAATGTTTATATTCATTATTTTCATTTAATATTAATTGATTTGACATGAATTTAGAACTTTAATCATAAGCCATCTCGATATTAATGCTTACTTAGAACTGCATATAAGATAAGTTCTATATTTTGTTTGATGCTTCGTGAATCGTTACAAGTCATAATTAATTAATATCTCTATATTTCGTTTCCTGTATTGGATTCAGTGGCTTTTGATTTCTTCTTACAATAGTTAATATTCATATGATTTTTATTTCATGGAATATTAATTACCTTATTGCGTTTTCAGAATTGGATAATATTAATGTGAGATGTTTATCTTATCTTATGAGAAAATTTCTTATTTGAAATAATTATTTATTAATTTGAAATTTAAATTAAATTGAAATAATATGTCACTAAAATGATTTCTATTAGATCAATTTATTTATTTATTTATTAAATTAATTGAATATTGCTAAAAAATTTTTCTAGTCTATGTGAAAAATAATTAGCCTAAAGGAAAATTATTTTTTGCCACTCTAAAGATATAGGTATAAATATGTAATAATTTTGAAAATATTCATGCATATAGTAAGTCGGTCCAACGAAAGGCTTATTATTGGCAGAATTTTTTATCAATATTTATTAACTATAATTTTAAGAGTACTATTTACAAATTATAATTTCTGTCTAAAGACTAAATTATGATGTTTGTTTTAGGTATCTTATAAAGGGCCCATCATATGCTGTTGCTAATTGTGTATTATTTTTGTTCTTTTTCAGTTAATGTTTCTTCTATATCTGTCAATTTGAATAACATTCCAGTGCTAAATGTCTCTAATTTTAAGAAATGGAAAGAGCACATTACTACTATTCTTATGTGTATGGATCTAGACTATGCGATTCGAACTGAACGCCCTCATGCCCTTACTGCAGAAAGCACTATGAATAAAGGGCAAAGTCGAGCGCCTTGCCGCCAGCTTCTGCGTTGTCAAGCTCTCGCGAGTTAAGCACCTGATTTCATATTCCCGCCGCAATTTCGTTTTTCCCGCTGGCGAAACGAGCTGCTCGACGAGCTGTCGAGTCGATCAACCGGCTGTTCGATCTCGACTCGCGAGCTCGATAAGCTCGGCTCGTCGAGCCAATTATTGAGTCGAGCTCGAACCGGCTCGCGAGCCGACTTGACTCGGTTGCACCCCTGATTCGGCCTGCTTACGGATACAGAATTAATGCAGGATATGAACAGAATTAAAGCTAAATCCTGTAGAAATTTATGCGAGGTTTGAGCAGGATCTGTGCTAAATCCTGCCGAATGAATTTGATTGCCCCGCAAATCTCACGGCGGAAAAAGTCCTCCATTTCCCTATGTTAGCCGCAAATCCAGGGTTTATTAATCCTGTAGTGTGGCGGATTTGCAGGATTAGGCCGAAGAAGCACGCGAAAGGCGAAAGTTACCTTCACAGCTAGCGAGCTCTCGCCTTTGCTTCCGATCGAAATGTCTGAACTTCCGATCCGACAGAAAGGATTGTGGTCAAAGGAGCGGAGACGTCGGTCTCCCTCTCTCTCTCTCGATCGGAGGAACCAGGAGGTCGGCAAGGAGGAAGCTTCGACTAGGTATCGGCGTCTACAGGGAATCGGATCGAGAGATCCAGGCGTCGGGCTTGTTGAAGGAATAGGGTTCGGAGATTTGAGCCTGGAGATCGACGTGTGTTCGGTGTCGGATCGGATGCTGATGGGGTAGATAGATTTTTGCTTGCGGTTTGCAGTTGGGTTCGAAGGCCTCGGCACTGGTGTCGTGGGTTAAGGAAGAACAGGAAGGAAGAGTCTCGCGTGTGGGAAGCGAAGTCGCAGCCCGAAAGCTCTATTTCCATCGAGGCAAGCAACGCACTCGAGGAATGGAATCATGTTACCAGTTTTTTTTTTTACCGTAGACGTCGACAAATAAGGCAAACAAAATAATCGAGGTCATCAAAAAAGTTCTTCTAGCCTTCTTTTATGATCAATGGGGCTCCTCTCCATGAAAAAAAAATTCACCAATTCCTAATTACAAGTCACAGAAGATTCTCATTCCACCATGAGCAAGTTGTACTGGAATACCTTCTCTGTCGGACCATTCTGCAATGCCTTGTTATCCTCGTGGTGATCAAACTCATGCGTCATCCCAATGAACAAAGCCTGCTTCGGCCTAATTCTACTAACAGCTTCAAGACTCTGCTGCAAGCAAAAATGGGTGTTGTGAGAACCTTTCTTGTACAAGGTGTCCAAAATGAGAAGATCAAGTTGCCCTCCTCCAGCCCTTGAAATAAGATAATCAGTAGCAGCAGGGGAGCGAGAAACATCCGAAATATACGCAGTTCTTGACTTTTTCCCAAAGAGGAAGGAAGCCTAAACAGATATAATCCTCCCCATGCATCACTGGTAAAGGAACAAACTGCAGGCCGGATGATATAAATGGTTTCGCACAATCAGATTCAATTATCCTCCAATCAAGCTGAGCAACACCCTTTCAATTTTTTCTCTCCAACCGAAATTCTCATTTTTCACTTCTCATTTTTTACTGCAAAATGCAGTAAAATCAAAAAGTGTCGTGATTCATCTCTAGTGTAATGTCATTTTGCCCCAAAATCATTGTCTTTTCTTTCGCGTTTTTATCAGAATGAGTGGGACGCCAATGTCGCATCGCACTGTTCATCAGACTGAATGCCGGGAAAAATGGTGTCTGAGGCTCTCCATTCGCCTGTTTGCGGAACGGCTGGAGAAGCTCTTAACCAAGTAAGGAAAGTGTTCTACAAGACTTTCCATTGCATGTTGAGTGATGTAAATTGGAGTTGGATCAATTTCATTTGTTGGACTGAATGGCTGCACTGCACGGATTTCATCCAAACCTAGCACAGCATCTGCATGTTCGTGAGTCAAAATAATCGAATCTACGCGAGGAATTTTATGGTGCGTAAACCATCGCAGAACTTGTTCTCTAAATGTTTTGCCAACATCAATCATTATATACTTGTGGGCGCCATTTTTATCGACATAATCAATCAAGAGAGAAGTGTTGCAACTGTAATTAGGGTTTTTCTCCGGAGGCAGGGAGAGCGATTGGGAGCAGACCTGACATGGGAGATCGGTCGGAAGGATAAGGCACCGGGCGTTGGGTACCGCACTGGAGCAGCCAATGCCGAGGAAAATTAGCGAGGATACGCCATTGTCAAATTCTTCGCCGTCCACTTTGAGATCGCCGTTTTGAGATAGCGCCTTCGGCTTTGTTTGTTTGAGGATAAGACACCGGAGAATTTTTTTTGTGTTATTTGGTTCCTCAAATCACGTTCCCAATAACTTTTTTTTTCTCATTTTTTTGTAGTTTTGAGAAAGTTTTTTATATGTGCTTCTCCGTTACAAAACTCCATTTTCTGAACTAATGTTTTTTAAAACTGTCTTTTACAAAAGCACAAAAAAAATAAGGCCTCGTTTGATTAAGTTTATTTCCTCCGTTTCCGTTTGAATAAGCTATAATCAGTTTGTCGTAACTGTTTGGAAGACAAGTTTAACGGTAATCAATTTTTAGTAAACCACGTATTTTGAGCGGTTACAAACTTTTTTCCCTGCCCGCTTATTCATTCAGAAAACAGAGTTTCGCTCACCAAATGCCCGAAATAACCCGGAGCGTTCTCAGGTCGACCACGAAACCTTCGTCTTCTTCAAATGGCAAGACAAAAAAGCTGTCGTTGTTTTTTTAGTTCCTTCCATCCAGATTCCCGAACAAGACAGGCTGCCCATGGAATCCTGAAATCTCGCTCAAATTCATAATAAAAAGCCCGAACAAGATCGTCTGCTCCCGATCGATTCAGGAACCATCCCTTTCGGCATTTTCCGCGTAACCTCCTAGCTGAAACCGAATTTCGTACCTCTTGCTCCTTCGTGGTTCTTCGACTTCGCTCCTTCAACGACGTTCCCTCTCTGTCACGAAAATTTAGGGTTTATCGGAAGCAACGACGGTAGATCGCTCGCTCTGCAAGGTAACTTTCTTCCTTTCTTCTTCTGCTCATTCCGCCTTGAGATTTACGGACACAAAACCCGTTTGCCAGGATTTTGCAAAATTCGGCGTTTTCCTAACTCTTGAAACCAGAACGATTTTCCTGCCTGTATTAAGGTGACGTTGATACCGGAACGATTTTCCTAACTCTTGATACCGGAACGATTTTCATTCTTGTATCAGAAAAAAAAAATTTCTTGACTCTTAATATGGAAGAGTTGGAATAGTCCAACCTGTATTAAGGTGACGTTGATACCAAGAGGCGGAGCTTAAAAGCATGATATGACACAGAGATCGTATTGATCCTTAATAATGAGGAAGAAAATGAAAATAAGAAATTTCATATCAGTTACATTTTTCATGTAATAGTTTTACTTGCTATTTCATAATCAATACTTCGTACTCCTGCTTGGCTGCTCGTTCACAAGAGGCGTTCTTCTTTGTATTTCAAGTGGTTCAACTTATTTCTTCCGATCATCAGCAACGTCAAGCTTCTTCCATTGTTTCAGGTGATTCGCTTAACCTATTTTATTCGATTGCTTATTCTATATGAAGTGGTTCAACTGAAACTTTTTTCCTTCCCTTACAAAAAATTACAACTGTTACTAATAATTAGGCACAATTTGATACAATATATATGATTTATAAATAATAAATATTAACCTACAATTAGAAGTTTTGTAAATCAATAAAATTCTTTTGTTCGTA